GTCAGAATTTCTTGAGTACTTGGTACCGTATGGATTCCTTCGCATTTGGATTCATCTTGAGTCACCGATCTACTGTTGTTCAAGACCGACATTTGTCTAGTTTAAAATATGGGACTACCAATGAGTATGTGGAGAAAATGTATTTCATGAGGCGCGTGTCCACCCTATCTGTCTTTTCAACCAATTCATATGCCATAGCGGAATTGCTTGACATGCTCGACATCAATATAACACATTTGCAGACAATCAAGATTTGGTTGCAGGAATCCAAGTTACAGTCGGTATCTCTGAGACCGAAAGACAGACCAGATCCAGTGGATTTCATACCTTGAGTATTTCTTAAACCTGGCCAAAGGTCTATGAAGCTTTATTGCTTCCCGGGGTTCATTTTCAAGTTCTACTACAAGATCCAATCGTCAAATATAAATACCCAAAGGTAGGTGTTCTATTACACTGAACACTGTGTTACACCAGATACGAAAAGCAAATTTTGCAGCCGGACAATATGCTGCGTATATATCCTCCAGATGGCTACCGTTTTAACTGACTCAATACAACGAGTACAATGTATCTACGGAAACCTCTTTCATATACGTTAAGTATATCGATTTATCTGACCTTGGCAACCTGCCTCAGTGACAACTAGAGAGGTAGCATTTCTCTTTGCAACAATTGTTCCTTTCCTTTATATGTTGAAGGGGTAGCAAATACCACATACTTCGATATAGAAATAAAGCCTCAGGGGACATTTTCGGATCGATTTCGCCCTACACATCATGGTACAGGAAACTGTCTCAAGGTATCGACTAGCCGGGGAAGCTCAAAGGTCACCCAGATAGAGTATAGTGCCTGTTTTGGGAATGGAAGCAACGTCGACTGCCGCTCCGCTAATATGATCTATTACGATCTCTCAAAGATTAATGACCCATCCGATGCCGAGTATGGCGTCCGGATTGAACCCAATTTTGCTTGGTGCGCGACGGTCGATTGCCCCATGCAGGTATATCGATGTGAATCAACATATTACCAGCCGGATGATAATTATGCAACCAAGGCTTGTGATGTTCATACAAACCTGGAAGTCACATTTTGCTAGTAGTTCGATTGGTCTTGAAGCTCTATCATGACTCTACCTCCGAAATTTCCGAAATGTATCAAGAAAATCGGCTCTGGCGGCCCTTCACATAAGTTTTTGTACCATTCCAGCGACGTCGAAAAGGCCTGTATTTCTTCTTTTTAACGATCTAGAAAGACTAGAGTAATCAAATAAAATCAAACAGAATGCCTCCCCATATGATGATGTTGATACAGTAGTGGTTTTCGAAAATAGATTCCCCCTTTAGACATACACACTTTTCCCCAAGGCCCACCAATGTTCTTGGCCTAGATCATCGAAGTTCACATGGTTCCTTTCAGCCACTCACCCGGCTAGATTCTGCGAACTACTACAACATCCCGTTTCCCCACGCCGAAGGTAAGTGGCTCTGGTTACAGGAATGAAGTCTTTTCTTTTGGCCAATACGGAGAACACGGGCTCCGGAAATCTGGCCCCTGCTTACGACAGCCGCTACACCATCGTCATATTGAAAGGCTACTAGCAGTGGAACTACCTGAAGACATTCGCGCGACTGAAATAGCTCATATCGTTGCAGAAGTGTTTGAGGACGTACGGGGACTCATATCTGGATGTGGCGATTTGGACAGTTGGAGGAAGAGTGTTATAGGATACTGCTCCCACCAGGGTACATGCCCCAAGCCAGTATATCCTAAAACGCCTCTCAAAGAAAGCGTGTTAACCCAGCTCGGCCTCCTGGCGGAGTTCCCCATCATCGCTGACTCGGAAAGTGATGACGACTATCACTTTTTCGGAAGAAGTTATCCTACTTTTGTTAGGTTCGACGGTCGGGATACCAGGTTGTCCATTCAAACAGATTTATTTGAAGTGGGTACGAACCATTATGATGACGTGCCTATACTATGAAATTATCTTATCCCCGGGGATGCTGACAACTTCACTTTGGCAGTTTACCACTACTCTAACACCTCACCTTCGATCGCATGGGACATTCGACATCACAAGCCATGAGATTCGACTGCAATGCATACTCTGTTTTGTGGTACAAAATGATAACCGAGATTGGATCAAGGCGCTTTGGGAAGCTTTAAACGCCAAGCGATGTTACAACCTTGACCAAGACATAGAAACTGGGGCACATAGCTGCAAATGATTCTCAAAGAGCCGGGGTGCAAATAGCTGGTCACCTTCATATACTGTTTTGTCCCCTGCTCATTTGTGCTTCATGTAATCAATTAAACGCCTTTCTAGTTGTATCCCACGATTATATAAATGCAACAACTTCTTGGAGGCTGATATGTACTACAGCATCTTGCTGGCTTCAAATTCCACTCGAGCTTTCCGTGCAGCTGTGCAAAAGTCGAAGACTATGCTGTGGTCGCAATAAAGTGTTAGGTGTCTTTAACCCTGCCGAGTCTTCAGTCCCCCGGGAATAAAGACGCCTGAGGACTACAGTAGAAGTCGAAAGCAGATTACCCCATAGACACTCAGGCCTTCTTTCTCAGTCCCAGCTTCGATCGCCTTAAACCGAATTCGGTCGGGGCTTGTCCCAACCAACTTTGCGGATGTACTTCTGGTACACTCTAATGAAGAGTGACTGTACTGTACTGTTTTCAAGCCACTATCTGCAGCTAATCTGAATATTCAGTAGCGTGTCTTAGGACAGGGTTGGAGAATTTTGTGAGTGGACGAAAGGGAATCTGATCTCCAACACGGCAGTACAGAGTTGAAAGGCCGGATCTGATGATTAGAGCTACATCACACTGGATACTGCTATGCTCATTCCATCATAACCACTGCAGCCTGCTAGTGCACTGCAGGCACAATTTTTGATGATAGCATTACAGCGCTATATACAAGAACCAGATGCATGATGTATAAACTGGGTTGCCATCCATTGAAGTGGCCCATTCTCTCAAGGGGCCGGACGAAATACTGCATGACCCCAAGACCATTATAAGCGGCAACACGAGCAACTTCCCAAGTCAGCGGCACGGGCTGACCGAGAGGCCCCGCAAAGCTATGGATCATCGGTACCAGGGCGAGCAAGCCCAGGGAGGCGCAGTGATATTGAAACTTGAGACTCGTCACGGGAGTGCCCGAAGGATGTGCCAGGACTTCGACCAAGTGTCCCACAAAAAGCAAAGAGATAGCGCAAATGTATCCAAGCTGCGCCACAGGGCGAACGGCGAACTGAAGAGCGACGTAGGAGACGGTGGTTGTATAAATCAACAACAGAATCCCTCCGAACTCCAGCTTCTCCCACTCACACGCATTTGCGGTACCGAGGACGAGAAGGACACGGTAGGCGAGACTCAGGAAACACCAAGAGATGACACCAACGCCGAAAAGAAGTGTCGCGAGCGAGTTACTGATGTCCGCATGGGACTCAGGGAAACGAAAGAGAAGGCATTGAAGTGTAAACAAGGCAAAGTAGGAGATCCCAAAAATATCGAGAATCACGATGACCGCGGAGTCTCGTAGAGTAAGAATAGTGGGACCATCCATTGAAAAGGTTACTTGTTCATACAGCCGTCAGGCGATTGAGAAGAGATTTGGCTTAGCGTTGGAGTCTGGGCCGTAACCTCTTTTTATAAGGGCAACCAGGCGGAAGTGCAATACAATTCGGACTCCTGTGTAGAGTGAATGCAGGGACAACGTTCATTCCGAGGTTACAGGAGTGTTTCCGCGGTTTCTTTGCTGATCCTACCTGCTGTTATCTTCCATTTCGTTGTTCTGCTGGCAAGGCTGGCTATTGGTTGTATCTGATTCGCAGAATTACTGTCATCTTCGTGACTGTCTTTTCTCTTCCATCGTTCAACATTGGTATCCTTCAGACTGCAAAGTCGCCACATGATCGTTCAACACGCGAATCTACGCGCGAGGGAAGGTATAGATAAATTCGCATTCTGGGGTTGCACTCAATGAACTCTATACACACTCCGTATCCAAATTCTGTAACCTTTCATCCGCCGGTTGGGCTCCACAGGACCCTAACTGAACAAATGGAGAAAGCAAATTTGAGGCACTGGTCAGAACAACTTGTAACTGGGCTAATCAGCGTCGGGGTAAAAAAGATAAAGTTAGCCGCACTTACCCCCACAGGTAACAACCGACGATTGAACACATAAGCTAGTACGGTGATCAGACAACTGGTCGAAGCTATGCCAGAGAGAAACCATGCCATACGCTTCAGTGTTAAACGCAACTGGAGACCGGGGATCGTGTATCGCACTAGCCACCAGTGGAACAAAGCGATGCACAGATAGTCAAATGAGATGAACACAATGAACAGGCGTTGGGTTGGTGAGTTCGTCAGACTCCCAATAAGGCAGAAAACCAGCTTTGTTACTGTTGAGGTGCCAGCAAGAATGAAGCAGAATATCCTTAATCCGTGAGGTTGGAAGGTAGGATGTCGTAGGTGGACGTATATTTGAACAAACTGTGACAAGATCAGACCTCTCGCGAAATCTTATTTGATCTTTGGGTGAAGAACACCATACCCCCTGTATGGAGACAACGACGCCAACTGTAGCAAGGAGGATTGCTATAGCAGGTGTGTTAACCTCTATCAATATGAGGGCCGACTGGATCGCCAGCAATGCGCATGCCGAAATAGACAGTGAGAAGCTTAGTCGAGGAATGAGATTGGGTGAGTTGACAGTAGGGCAGAGAAAGATGCAGTGGAGAAGATGTAAGAGGAACGAGAGGATTGTCCAAATTACTCCAAACGGCTTCAGAATAACCATGTTCAAAGTGCAAAACTCAATAATCACGCTCCGTAGACATCTACTTATGTCGCAGCTAGAGTAAAAGTAAATAAATGCGCTCCTATGGTCACCGCCAAATAACATGTCCAAGGCTCCTGGGATCTCAATGGAGCTCTTCTTGTTTCCTGGAAATAAGTTGACAGTGCTGCTGCCACTCTCTGGTGATATGCCCGCATACATTGCTTTTCGGCATCCTGTTCCATGCGCGCGCATTCCGGAATTCGAGGTTGACCTCGAAGGCTCAGCTACGGAAACTCTTTATCAGCAAAGGCTGTGAGCAGCTCTTGGTGCCCTTAGACCCGAACAAGTCTGATTGGTATATATTCTGTAAGACGGAGCTGGTCAATGGCGTTCCCACCATTCAGCGGACCGTGCAGATGTCCAAGTCGGCCATGTCCACCTTGCTGGTCACCTTCGGGGAGATCCGTGGGTGGAAAGGGGCATTCCATGCCCATCAGTTCCGTTATGGAAGTGGTAAAGTGATCAACGAGAGTGGTGAGTACTTCCATGGAGGCCATAAATTCTTCTCTTCCTTCTGTTCCGTCAGTGGCTGACATAGTCTGTAGGGTGGGTGAGCAAGGAACAACACATGTTGATCATGAAGCACGCCAGCCCCCGGACCTTTCTCGACCACTATCATCCGCTGCAACTCGACACCGATATGATCCGGATTATCTGTGGCCTCGACCCGGATGTGGAACTGATGCGAGCCGTCACGCGGCAAAGTCGTTGGCGGGACACGCGACGCCCACGATATTTAACTGATCAACAGAGGGCACAACTTGAGGATCATCCCGAGTTGGGAGAGGCCCGGCGCAATCTAAGCAAGATCCGTGCCCAATACGAGGAGACCCAGCAGCCAGCCATGCTCCCTCGGATCCAGCAACGGGAGAAAGAGGTGAGAAACACGCGAAAACGGTTACACAGGAGCTTGCGGCATCAGATCCGAGAGAATTTTGATGAAGAGCAAGCGTTTCTGGATATCGAGGCGCAACTGTCTGGTACCGTGGTCAAGGATGAGAGCGAGGATGAATCATCTTTGGAGGACACCATGCACCCCCTTCAGTTGCATCTGGTGCAGAGTCTTCTTTCCTACCCAATCTCCAACTCGTTGGAGGATGAGTGGAATCGGCGCGATACGGGTGCTGCAGCGGTCGTGCAGTATTGTGAGGTCCTTGAAGGAGGCCCGTTAAGGGGCCGGCCCAAGCGGAAGGCCTCTGAATCCGCTACGTCGGTTGGCCCCATAAACCAACCGCAGGATGCCGGGCAGACCCAAAATGTTGCCGACTCATGTGAGGTACCTGTTTCTGTGGCTGGCAAGCCGTCGCGTGCTACCAAGGAATACCTCGAGAAGTCTGAGAAGCCAGAGGCGTGCTTCCAATGCTTTGCAAATAAAGGGCTCCCTGACCATGTTCGCTTCCAGATGTATCATGACGCTGGGTGTGTTACACGCCATTTTGACGCTATCCACCTAAAAGAAGAGCCACTCAAGTGCAACTGGTGTGAAGTAGCCTTGCTACATCAAATGGCGTTCCAGCGCCATGCTTTTGATGTGCATCATGTACGCAGTCGCAAACGTTGCCCGAATCCGATACAGGAACTTCAGAGACAAGAACACGCAGGCGGGGATGTGCTGAACGGTAGTTAAGGGGAGAATTATCCTCTGGATAGATATGGGCGCGCACTGTCTGCCTGGTTAGGGCAGCATTGCAATGCTCTAGTCTAGTCCCACACTGTCACAGCTTGACGTCCAATCGTGCAATGCAGCTTGGAATATTGCGATCGCACCATGTCCAATTATTTCCCGGGGCTGAGTCCGTCACTGTTGGTTCTCAGGTATATAAAGGGCCTCCTTCCCCCAGCCGACTGCATGCCCTGATATTCTCTTTTCCTCTTCCCAGGCCTGCTTGTATCGAATTTCCTCCCATGAGCGTGGCGACTAAGATCACGACCTAATCACTGTCCGGCTCGTTATCAGAACAAACCGTTTGACTTTCATCTTATCGCACAACTCTGCGTTCACTTTTCATCGCGTTTCGTTTCAGGGCCACAGCGTGCGGCAGCGCGCGTCACCAGTTCTTATGTTAGATAACACACCACCAAGAATCACCAATACAGATATCTTTGATCCCATTCGCTCTGCCGTATACTAGTCCATACCGTTTTAGCTTACTTCGACATGTTGAAAGTGCTCCCTAGGCAATGAAATGCAGGAACACCAGCACTTCAGCCAAAACTCCATGTCGGCTGGCCCCGACAATAAATCTATTTCTTATTTGAAACGTCTAGAAACAGACAGTTAGCTCTTTGCTATAATAAATACGAGTGAAACGGCTGGAAACAGTGCATCGGTCTCGATTTGTAACCTACTGAATTGGAAGTGGATAATGTCTCCATCTTGGACAACCTGGGGAAATATAAAGTTAGCTGCTGCAGTATCAGGAGGAATCCGAGTACCTACATAAGTCTTTCCTTCTTGTCGGTATTTCCCAGCAGCCTTAATTGGGCCCATGGACTTGCCGCCTTCACAAAGATCGCGGAAATCTTGGTACGCGACCACTTCAGCCTTGATAAATCCCTTCTCAAAATCGCTGTGGATAGCTCCAGCAGCTTGTGGCGCTAGGCACCCCCTTGGGATGGTCCAGCATCTGATTTCCTTCTCGCCAGCTACGTACAAATCAGCGCCAAATTCATCCAGACGGGGCATATTACGAGCAAACCGGTGAAGTAGTATTGCAAGCCAAGCTTAGTGAATCCTTCAGTGATGATTTTGTCCAGTTTTGACTTGACCTTGCTCTCCTTGAGGAACTCGGCTAGTGCAGCTGGATCATCTTTCATACTGTAAAGTTTCTCTTCAAACTCAATAGAGAAGGGAACAATGTCTCGGGGAACACCTCCGTGCTCGGTGACCCACTTGGCTATGAGCGGCAGGTATTTGCTTTTCTGTCTGAGGTAATCCTTCATTGTCAAGTTGACAAGGTAGATAGTTGGCTTTGTGGTGATTAGCTGTATCTTCTCGTTGATGAGTGCAATCTCGGCCGGCGTCCAGCTTCCATCTCGGACTGGCTGATCCTTTTCCAACATCTATTTCACGATTGTAAGCACATTTAAATGGTTAGACCTATAAGGCTGGAAATTTTGGGCTCACAGTTCGGATCTTTGTCGTTGTCTCTGTGAAGAGAGGTAGCATCTTGTATTTGCGACCTGCCTTTTTGACGATTGCTTCCTCGGCAATGACTGTTTTCTGCAGAATATCTAAACGGGGATTAGCTGGCGTCAAGCCGATTCAAAAGGCAAAACAAACCCAGATCTTTCTTGCAAAGCTCGCTTTGGATGGTATCTAGAAAATGCACCGATTAGTTTCATCACCTTCGGGGACTTGGATGAACTGACTCAAGTCCCGGACGGGATCGATGGAGTCATCGACATGCAGAACCTCATCGTTATCGAATGCTCTGTCATAAAGTCGGTGTTAGTGTGGAAGCGCGGCAGTTTGCGACGGATGCCGTACCTGACAATGTGGAACATGCCGTCAACGGCCTGGATATGCGAAAGGAAGGCATTTCCAAGTCCCTCTCCTTGGGAAGCACCCTTGATCAGGCCGGCAATGTCGGTGACTTGCAGATACGCTGGGTACATGGACGGCGGCTTCCAAAGGTCACAGAGAAAGTCCTATATATTGCTTAGTTCAGACATCAATTAAATAACCTGGCAGTAGACTATTTTAACTTACATATCGAATATCGGGAACAGCACACCTCGCCTCATTGGGCTCAATCGTACAAAATGGGTAGTTCTCTGCGGCGGCGCTCTGCTCGGTCAAGAGATTGAACAGACTCGACTTTCCCACATTAGGTAGACCAACGCATCCCATCTTTAGGTTCTTGCGAACCCTTCCGAAAGCGACAACATTGTCCTTGACAGCTTCAATCTTCTTAGGGGGCATAGTGACCTTACTGGTCGAACACAAATGAATGTTTATGTTTAATGGAAGCTTGATCTTGGAGGGGTAAAAAAAGAAAGAACCTCTGGACAAACTTTTTAGCAAGTAGCCTGACAATTTTAGGCCCGCTTAAGGACAGGAAATTACTACGTGGGCAAACTTTGCTAGCGGGCCTCAGGCGGATGTGGGCATCAAGTTTTCTACACTCTCATTGGCTCTGGTAATCTTCGACCCACAGGTACGGAGTACATGGCACCCCATTCCCATAGCCCAAATAACCAATGAGGGATAAATACCATTCTATGCTCACAGTTACTTGTGTATCTGTTACGTCGGGAGGAAATTGCCAACAATGAGAGACGGGCTAGATGGGACGCGTTAGTATCGGAGCGTAAATGAATCCAAGATTCAAGGCAATTACATATCGTGGTTGTCTCGTCGAATCGTGAAGGAGAAGCAGCATGGGATCGCCTCGCCCGCCGAGTGTGTGGGGCTTTTAAGAGTACAGCTGGTGAGTATGGCTTTCTGGGTGTTGTCGAAAGCAATGGCGCCGAATTTCTCCCAGTAGTTAACCAGCTGGTCCTCGGCAATGATTTCATGGATAGCGAGTTTACCCTGGAAGCACACATCGATGAATAAGTGGTGCAAAGAAGGTAATCGGACAAGCATCCAACACTCACATCTCGCAAACTCTCAACCGGAACGTCGATCAACTGCGCCATCTCATTATTGCCTCGGAATACCTCGCCCGTCCGTCGCCAGCAGCAGGCAGGGATGGCCATACTGGCGAAGACGCGGTCGTACTCCATCAAGCTCTGTTCGAACCACATCTCCACCAGGATCAGTTCGACATCCGTCAAGCTATGCATAAGCTCTCGGAATTTGGGCCGGAACTTGTCGAGCTGTCGGAGAATCCTTTGGCGGGACGTATGCTGCATGTTCTTTTCCATGTACTCATTGAGCCTGGCGTACCCCTTGACATAGTTGAAGGGCTTCAGCAGCCCAGCGTCATACTTTGCTTTGAGAAGCTTGTTCATGCGCTCCTCTGGAGGGTCCGATCCCGACGGGTCTGCAGCAGTCATGTAGTATGTCTCGCGAGCCTGGTTGTTTCCCAATGTGGGAGTCAGCCGCTGAATTGAGTCACTCTGTGGTGCCTGGCTGTGAGCCGGTGGTGGAGGCTGAGTCTGTGGTCGACCATGTGACTCTCTAAGCGTGCTCGTAGAGTTTATCAATGACGGATCAGAGTAGATGCCCTGTATATCCTGGTTTTGGAACATCGCCCTATCATTGTGCAGACTGTTACTGAGGAAATCACCGAGCAAATTGTACTCGTTCGTGACCTCAGGTGCATTAAACATGTACGACTGGCGGAGCCAATGCATGTCCTGAAACTGGTTCTGTCCACCCAACCAGTCGTTGTACGCCATCACTGGGATCCCACGTTAGCCAAATCTGAAAGCACAAACTTTCCGACTTTGTCTCCCGCTTACGCCACTGAGAATTGGCATCGAGGCCCTGGTCAGAGGAGGGAATGTTCCCAGGCTGTACCGAGGAAGCCGAGCTTCCGATCGTACCATCCGGGAGGATTTGCTGACCAGCCGCATCCCGGACGTCGACCCTTCTAGACATACCTCGAACGGTGACCGGCTCATTGTTGGACGAGCCCTCCTCGTCCACGGCCGATCGGTCATGCTCGCTTCGTGTCCGTTTCGGAGGTACCCTGGGCTCGTCATGGCACAGATGGCCGATATTGCGCTTGATACATCGGGTGCAGGGCCGTTCCTTCACAAATTGAAACTGGTCAGCAGGCTCGTCTTCTGGCTTGCAACTGCGTTGACAGCCAGTTCAATAGGGAATGGGGAGAGAGATGTCGTACCGAATCGCAAGTTATATGCTGTCCCATGCGACCAAGGGCCTTCCGTTAGCAAAGCGGTGTCCTCAAATAGATCTCAACATTGGAGGCGGACAAGCCGCCTCCGAGGGCAGAGAGCGACCGAGCGCGCCGTGGGGTGTTTGCATGATGAGCTTACCGAGCGACGACAATAGGCGCATGCTGGGAATAAGAATCACTCGTTAGCGGAAGAATCACTTCATAATCACCATGCGAACCGGTGCCCGGAAAATGTGCCTAGAACCCTGTTGCATGCATACTGCGCGACCAGCATCTTACCGAGATTGACCTTGCGGCGCTTCTTGGGACTGGAGTGACTGTCCGTGCCAGCCGTTTCGGACTGGGCCACAGAGGCTGCTTGCGATTCCTTTGCGTGCGCATTCTTTCCCGCATCTCCAGCGCTGGCCATGGACATCGCAGCCGTGCTCTTCTTGGAGCCTGTACCTGACTCAATTTTCTCTGTCATTGTGATCGATAATCAGGACTGGGTAAGATGGCCCCCAGTAGAAATTGGCCATGTTGGGGAAGTGGTTGAACGTCAAAGTTCTTGGGATCGTGAAATGCGGAGTTAACCACCTTCGACCTGCTCCGTATGAGGATTCTCGATCTTTTCCGACTCGCCACGGAGCATCCCGGTTTTGACCACGATACGCTAGGGTGGCTCAATACCGGTACAAAGTGGGGGTGTTTGATCATAATTTGATTGAAGAACTGTGAAGGAGATCGCTGTTGGAATGTCATAAGGGCCCGCGGATATTGTGCACGGGTTCGATTTGCCATACAAAACATTGTTGACGACGTCCACGTATCCCCTCGTCCGTCCGGGAAGGACAATTAGCGCATTTCAATTAGCGTATTATATTATCCAATAGGTTATCGGACTAAAATATTCGATGTGTTATTGGATATAGGGGCTCCACTATCTACTAAGTCATCAACGCGTGTTTTTCTACACGCGTAACCCCTACCAACCTGCCTACCAACCTGCCTACCAACCTGCCTACCAACCTGCCTACCAACCTGCCTACCAACCTGCCTACCAACCTGCCAATAAATCTGCCATGGCTCCAAAGAAATCTACTAAGGCTACACGGAAGCGCACGCTTGACGAGATTACTGCCGAATTACCTACTAAGGAAGAACTCTCTCGGCAGCTAAAGCCCTTGATCCCTTCCTCCGAACCTCCACGGCTGCACCTACCTACTAGCATTGACCTAGATAGCCCATACGCGATCTTTACACTCTTTATTAGCGAAGAGATTTTCGATCGTATCAGCCAATCTACCAATGCATACGCGCAGCGAAATCTAGCGAAGCTAGCTACCACTGCCACTACTACTACTACTCGCGCGTGGAAGGATACTACAACTGCAGAGATCAAGGTCTTCTTTGGTATTCTTATTTATATGGGTGTTCACCCTGAGCCACGCATTGATCTCTACTGGGCGCAAGATAGACGAGAAGGACCACTACATACTCCTCCGCTTTATATGACCCTTAAGCGCTTTGAACAGATTAAGCGCTATCTTCATATATCTCACCCTGACGAAGATGAGATACGATCGGAGAAGGATAAGAAGCAGTGGTGGTATAAGCTAGACCCTCTGGCTTTCTTCTTCAAAGAGGCTGCTGAAAAGCACTACCAACCAGGTTCTAATATCTCTATCGATGAGACTATGGTTCGCTGCTTTGGCCGTACGAAGCATACTGTCAAGATGCCTAATAAGCCAATTCAACAAGGTTATAAGATCTTTGCCCTCGCAGAACATGGCTATATTTGGACATTTACATGGAGTAGCCGCCTATGGGGGATCGCGGAGATGTTTAAATATGAAGGCCTTAGCCCTACGGCAAGAATGGTGCTTAAGATGGTCAAGAAGCTTCCTGGCCTAGCTAGTTCGATGGCTAATCTTCCTGCTACCCCTATGAGCAATTCGCATACCAATCTTATAGCCAATTCGATGGCTAATCTTCCTGCTACCCCTATAAGCAATTCGCATACCAATCTTATAGCCAATTCAATGGCTAATCTTCCTGCTACCCCTATGAGCAATTCGCATACCAATCTCATGGCCAATTCGATGGCTAATCTTCCTGCTACCCCTATGAGCAATTCGCATACCAACCTCATGGCCAATTCGCCGGCCAATTCGCCGGCCAATTCGCATACCCTAGCACCCTATATTGTCTACTTAGATAACTACTTTACCTCGGTAGCCCTTTTCAAAGAGCTTCGAGATATTCAATGTGGTGCATGTGGTACTACCCGCCCTCAAAATGGGATACCTTCTCAGCTCGTTGAGCTAAAGGATCACATTAAGACGATCCCATGGGGTACACTCTATGCAGCAGAGGCTGAAGGGGTTCTATGTCTTGCTTGGCAGGACAATAATATAGTCCTTCTACTATCTACTATCCACTCGCCACAGATATACACTCCTACTAAGCGGAAGCGGCCATTACCAACCTCTACGAATGCAGCTATCTCGCGTATACCTTTTGGTGATGAGATAACTAAGGAGCTCGAGATTCCTACTGCTATCAATGACTACAATCACTATATGGGTGGTGTGGATATTGCAAATCAGTATAGGGCTTCTTATGAAATTCATCGAAAGTGCGAGCGTGTCTGGTTCCCTCTGCTTTTCTTCTTTATTGATGCTGCAATTATTAATGCTTACCGCATTCAATATATCTTTAAGAAGCAACAGGGGGATAGTGAGCTATCTAGTCAGCTAGATTTTCGGCGAAAGCTCTACCAGCAGCTCTTTGCCTTTGCACCTTCGCCAGTACCAAGGCCAGTACCTGGTATAAACCACCAGCGAATTCAATTCGATAGGCGAAAAGCTTGTGTGTGGTGTCAGTATAAGAGAGAAAAGGGCAAAAGAGGCCAACAGGCCAATCGGTCAAGATCTGGTTGTTTAGAATGCGGCAGTGTAAGCCTATGTGTAAAAGGGCAGTGTTGGGACGAATTTCATAGAATTAGCTAGTCGATTAGGCCTGATTAATTACCATACTGAATTGTGACCGCGATTAGCCAATTAGTACGCGTTATTCATATACGCTAGTATAGCCTAGTAAAATACGCTAATTGTCCTTCCCGGACGGACGAGGGGATACGTCGAACATTTCGATTCGTCTACTGGTTATTCCAAGGTTAATCATGCCAAGGAAATACTATCCGAAAGCGAACACGGGGCTAGCCAAACTCCGAGGAATTGCCGCACTCGGCCGGAACTCTTTGGTCTGGTAAAAACTCCTGTCCAACACGAGCCTACTTAGAGAAATGATCAGCTGATTTTCTGAGGTCTGGTCTCATTTGCCTTGGTTCAGATCGCGAATTTCTCGGATTCATTAGGGTCCCAAGGCTCCAAGGTGAGAAGAATCTTGAGGGTCGATTCAGATGGACATCCCAACGCAAAGTGAGAGACTGATAGACATGAATTTTGATCAAGTCAGGATTCAGCCTCACATAGTTATCCTCCTCCTCGAGCCTCTTTATTGTTCTGAGAATATCACAGTATCCCACGATGCCTAGAACCAGGTTTAACAACAATATCATCTCCACGGAAGTCCCGGTTAGTCATGTTTATCTAGAGGGTGATGAGACAGATTACCTTGGAAAATGTTTCACAGGAGAGGTGAAAAACGTTCGCCTCACGGTTGAGAACCAATATGGCCAAACCTGGGACCTGCTGTGCGAAATTGCTGAAGATATGAACTTCCTCCCCAACGAAGAGGTTGTGCTGTTGGAAGATCAGAGTGAGCAGTCTTAGGATACGGGATTAATGGATCATCACTGACTCCCCATATCTAGAGGTCCATAAGTTCTACTTTCAACAGGGCAACAAAAAGACTTGGTTATTATAAGTCATGACAGCTAAACATTCCTGTACGGATACTGTAGCGAGATAGCCCATCTTCGGAAGTCAGTCCACAAGTATTACACCACCAACATTATTAAGGATGATGCTCCTGGCATCCCAGTTACATTCTGAATTATTTTTTAGGTAACTTAGTACAAAGAATAGCATATTCAAATTTTGGTAGCCCACACATTATAGTCGACGGCGACTCTGTGAGGCTAGTTCCTAGCAGTACACCTGAGAAGAGACGCCAAGGACATAGTGTAAGACACTCATTCATGTACCTAGTTTACCTCTTCGCGATTAATTGCACTTGTTACTCGGGCTGCCTTTATTATTTTCACGATTCACCTCACGGTAACCCATCATACCAGGGAGCAACATTAGGTGCTGACTCGGCCGTCTACCTGGCCCGACCTGAGTATCATCTTTAATGACTGAAGCACATGTTGGACCTGAAAGACAACGCTACGTACGATTGCGAGATTATACATGTACTACTACTATAGTACACCTCGTTCCGCGGATACCGAATACATACAGTGTACTTAGCACAGTAACGAGCTGCCCCTGGTTATTACCTACTACTGTAACAGTGACTAGCTGGCAACGTGTGACTCTGCATCTGTTCAAAGGCAAACCTATATCGAAGATCGCCTATCTAGAATCATGAATACCGTTCCCACAGTTACTTCGCGGCCAATAGACACCGTTTGGTAAGTGAGTATTGATTGTCGGTAATGCATACTGTAATAGTGCGCGGGTTACTGTAGGTGATAACGATCCGAAGTTAGCTGATTCGGAGATGGGCGGGCGGCCATACTGTGGCTTCTTATTTCGGCGTTCTTGGATCCCACGAAATTCAAAAACGTTCCGTGCCATCAACCCCGGCCCAGCTTTTCCTAAGATGTTGACCCTTGAATATTGTCGAGATGATCCTTCAGAATTTCGTTTTCGGATTCTAGCTGTTTTAAATGGTGGTCGTAATGGTCGATAGCTTCCCTGATCATGCTCAAAGACGCCTGGACAGATTGAATATGTCTAGAGAGTGTCGTAAGTAAAAGTAGGATCCGATTGTGGAAATAATCTTACTGTTGTATCATATCTGTCGCATGCCGGGCATAACCTGGACTTCTGTCGTCGTTCTTTTCGGATTTCTTGACAGAAGAGGATCTGGCGACGGATAATTCCGCATTAGTATTGGTATGCGGAATATTCATTTGGAGCGACTATAGTGAATTCCTTGGTTCAGTGAAGGTTGGCGAAGCGAATCCACTGATCTCATATCGGTGTATTTTCAAGTAGTCGGTCGAACTCGGCAGGGGCAAATTGGAGAGGACGGGGAGGAGGATGATTTGAGAATGTGTAATTAGGAATCCGGGAGTTTTGACCGATCATCCGATTGCCCCAGAGAACCAATCACAGTATCATGCATTGTTCACAGAACTGGAAAAGAAAAATCCCAACGAAACGGGCGAGGGAAGCCTCTTGAATGCGTCGACACATGAACCCAAAATTCCTTTGTGAGCTTTGCGAGCATGATGTTTCCACATAAGCCAATTTGCCCGTAAAGGCCTGCCAGTAGCGATGGTCCGAACTC